TCCCCTAAAATCATTCCCTTTCCCTTACTCTCCCTACGCATCACGAAAAGTTCCCTCATCTTTTATCATTTCTACTTCCATTTTCCCTAATTTCCCGTTTTCCCCATAAAACTCTTCCTTCTCCCGCCCCTTCCTTAGCCTCCTTCCCCCATTACCCCCCCCCCTCCCCGTCTCTGTTCATTTCTGCTTCCATTACCCCTCAATCTCCCCGTTTTCCCAATATCACCCCCCCCCCCCTCTCTGTTCATTTCTGCTTCCATCCTCCTTCAATTCTCCCGTTTTCCCTATCACCCCCCCCCGTCTCTGTTCATTCTGCTTCCCTCCTCCCTTCAATTCTCCCCGTTTTCCCCTAAAAATCCTTCCCTCTCCCCGCCCTTCTCCCTAACCACCTTCCCCATACCCCCCCCCCTCCTCCCCGTCTCGGCTCATTCTGCTTCCATTTCCCCCTAATTCTCTCCGTTTTCCCCTAAAATCAATCCCTTTCCCCGCCTCTCTCCCTAGCCTCCTTCCCCCAATACCCCCCCATTCCGTCTTCTGTTTCATTATTCTCTTCATCCTCCCTCTCATTCTCCCCGTCTTCTCCTTAATATCACCCCCCCCCCCTCCCCCGTCTCTGTCTTCTTCCTGCTTCCATTCCCCTTCATTATTATCCCCGTTTCCCTTAATATCATTCCCCCCCCCTCCCCTCCCGTCTCTGTCATTTCTGCTTCCAGTTAGCCCTTCAATTCTCCCCGTTTTCCCCTGAAAATCCTTCCCTCTCCCCCGCCCTTCTCCCTAGCCTCCTTCCCCCAGCCTACGCCAAAGCAAAACACTGAATGATATCTCAAACCTGTTGCTAACTTGTGACGACACTGATCTATGCCATTGTCAAGGCTTCTCTTCCTCTCTCTCTTTCGTTGAATAGTTTCGCTTTTGATGTGTAATGGTTGGAAACTGAGGGAGAAACTTGTTTTTTTTTTCTAATTAGAAATTTTGAAATCGAGGTGTGAAAAGAGGAGAAGAGGAGAGGAAGAAGAAGGAAGAGAGAGAGGGTGAGAGGCAGTGAGAAGAGAGAGAGAGAGAAGAGAGAGAAGAAGAGAGAGAGAGAGCGAGAGAGAGAGAGAAGAGAGAGAAGAAAAGAAGAAGAAGAAGAAGAAGAAGAAGAAGAGAAGAAGAAGAGATAGATGAAGAGAAGAAGAGAAGAGAAAAGAGCAGATAGGGAAGTGGCGGAGGAGGGAGGAAAAATATGAAGAGAGAGAGGAGAGAGAGAGGGAAAGAGACAAAGAGAGAGAGAGACGAGAAGATAGAGAGAGATAGACAGAGAATAGACAGAGAAGTGACGGAAAGGCAAGAGAATAGGAAGATCGCTGAATATGTAAAACTGCGAGAAGCGTAAAGAGAAAAAGCCCAAACCTATTACTTTTAATGAAATGATCGATAGAAATTTGCAAACAGCATCATAAATGAAATAAATTTCAAAACAGCAGAAATAAGAGTCAATAGATAAAGTAGATGAATGAGGTACTAATGATTCCATCGATAACTGGGACAAGTACAAATAAACAAAAAATGATGAAATAATATATACAAAGTAATACGAATAAACATTGTTCTTAAATATCCTATGAATCTGTACCATATAAAGAAAAGATGCATAAAGGATAATAAAGAAAGCGAAACTCCCTCAAATGAAAAATCACAAAAAAGTAAGCGTAAAAAGAGAAAATAAAAATAGAAACTAAAAAAGAGATGATAATAAATATGAAACGGAAGAAGAACATACATATAAAGAGGATATGAAATTACAAATGGAAAATAATAAAGAGAAAAATTATAAAAGAAAAAAAAGCTATGAGATTGATTATAAGAGTCCAAAGGGTGGGTATAAAAATAGAGAAAGAGAAACAGAGAGAAAGAGAAAGACAAAAAGAAAATAATGAGAAGAATATGAAGACACCAAATAAAAAAAAAAAGAAGAAGAGAAAACAAAAGTGACAATAAGAAAGCAAGAATGGAAAACAAAACGGGATAAAAGATATGAAGACCCAAAAAGAAAAAGAGACCAAAAGGTAATAATTAATAGAAAATAATAAATGACAAACAGATCAAGAGAAAAGAAGAAAGAAGAGATGTGAGATATTGAAGACAAAAAAGGTAAGAGAGAGAAAGCAACATAGAAAAAATGGATATAGAGAATTAACAAAAGATAATTCCTCTAATCTGCTATTCTATGTATGTCTATTGATCTACCCACTATCTTATCCATTACTGAAAACAGACAAATAACTAAAGTTGAATTCGTGATATGACGAGTAACTCCTAGGTCTACCACACTGGAAAGGTACAGCAAACCAGTACGACGAGATAAAGAAAAAAGAGGGGAGGAATAGAAGGGAGGGGAAAAGCCGAGGTATGAAACGTTTCTTGGAGTTGATGCGCAGTCGAAAAACGCAAATCCAATCATCTATCCTATATATGCTATTGAGTGAGCTATCTATCCAGTGCATCTTGAGTTACCCATGATATCGAGTGCAAACGCCCTGCCTCGTCGCTCCTTAAGCCGCCTATCTCCCATCTTCTGAATGTCGAACTACGTATTCTCTCCCATTGTTCCTGAGCGCTCTCTCGTAAATCGCGCGTATATAAATTCCTGAAGGGCAGTCCTATTCTCCACATTCGTATCGTCAGGCGCCCGTTATCGCCGTTGTATTCTGAACACGCATTCTGGCGAAGATATCTCCATCTCTCTGAGGGCTCGACCTCGCAATTTCCTTTTTCTCTTAAGATGAGTATCTCCATCTTTCTGATCGCCGGCTATTCCATCTTTGAAGGCGCCGTATCTCATCTCCTGAAGACGCACGTATCTCCATTCTAGAAGGCGCCGCTATCTCCATCTTGCTGAAGGCTGGCCGTATCTCCATCTCCTAGAAGCGCACGATATCTCCTTTTCTGAGGCCCGTATCCTCCATCTTCTGAAAGGCGCCGTTATTCTCCATTCCTGAAGGCGCACGTATTCCATCTTCTGAAAGGGCGCCAGCCTTCCTGATCTCCATCTTCTGATAAGTCGCGAGCAGGAGATCGACTCATCCATCTTCTAAGGCCGTATCTCCATCTTCTGAAGGCACGCCGATCGTCCATCCTTCTTGATAGACCCGGTATCTCATCTTCTGAAGCGCCTATCTCCATCTCTCGATAGCCGTTATCTCATCTTCTGAGGCCCTCGTACTCTACCAACTCCTTAGGCGCCCGTATCCCATTCTTTCTGAAGCGCCGTATCATCCATCTTCTGAAGTCCGCCGTATCTCCATCTCCTTAAGCGCCGTATCTCCACTACATAGAGAGCGTCGTGAGTCACCCATCTTCTGAAGCCCGTATGCTCGCATTTCTGAAGGCCCCGTATCATGCCATCTTCTGAAGACGCCACGATCTCCATTCTGAAGGCGCGTACTCATCTTGAAGCGCGTATCTCCATCTCCTTAAGCGCCGTATCTCCATCCTTTAAGGCGTCTGTATCTCCATCTTTGAAAGCGCCGTATCTCCCTTTGAAGGCGCCGTATCTCCTTTCGAAGCCCGTATCTCCACATCCTTAAGGCGCGTTCCATCTTTCTGAAGGCGCCGTAGATCTCCTAAAGCGCCGTATCTCCTGAAGACGCCTTAACTTACGGCCGAGCGATCTCACGGCCCATACACAGAGCAAGGGACCCGCCATTTTGGTGCGAGTTAAGGCGCCGTAGACTAAGGGGGAAAGCAGCCTCAGCGGGTTACAGCGAACCATAAATGACATTTTTCAGTCTTAAAATAATTGATACAACATTACGTCGCCGCAGGACTGTTAAGGCCTCCAGCGCACCTTAACCTAAGTCTCTTTTGAAAATCTGGGGCCGGATTCTCAAAAGAGCCTCAAGTTAAGGCGCGCCGGAGGCTTTGACTGTCCAGGGGCTGGATTTTCAAACGCGTTAAGGCGCCGTATTTCCTTAAGGCGCCTTAACTTACGGCCCAGCGATCTCACGGCCCGTACACAGAGCAAGGGACCCGCCATTTTAGTGCGAGTGAAGGCGCCTTAGGTTAGGCAAGGGAGAGCAGCCTTAGCGAGTGATGGCGAAGCATAAATAACATTTTTCAGCTCTAGAACAATTAATACAACATTACAATTTGTATTTTACTCAGTTGTAGTGTCATTAGGTGTACATAAACTAATTGTGGACTACGAAATAAGGCAACAAGTGTAATATTCCAAATATAACTTTGATTTTTTTTTTTTTCTCGATAGATGCAACCACACACCGTTTTTTGGGGGAATAGAATAATTTTGTAATAACTTTCGTCGTGTTTCGAACGAATCTAGCACTCATTTCCTTCGCAAACGAATTATAATTACGATATCGGCCCCGACAGCTGGGGAGAGCATGATACATATCAGTTAATTTGGGGGGAAATTTCGAGAAACATCGGTAGAATACTAGCAAGCATAGTATATTCACACACTTCTATTGTCACGTGATGACCTATTCCATGTCTGATTGGTTCTACTGAATGTCTATGTTCACATCACGTTCACGCGCGAATCAAATCGGCTCATATGATCTCCCTTGCATACGAAATCCGCTACAAATCCGTCCGATTTTCCAAATTTTTATCATTTGTCGCGGCGTTGGAGGCGAAGCTTACTGCGGCTCCTGGAAATCGTGCATTTTATACCCTCTGTAACACCGTTATTATCAATTTGCGCAGAAAATGGTATAGAAGAAAATTATCATAGAATGATGTGTTCTACCACTGGGTAAGCTCAGATTCTTTAAATTAGTCGTGGGGTTACATTTTCAATACTACCAATTTTGTTAAAAAGTTTTATCATGCCACGGGCTGGACACAGCGTCGTGTTTACAAAAATCAGCTGATTGGCATTTACGGCTTGTGATTCGTCAAGATTCCCTAAGAGCCGCCTGAAACGGCAGCTGTGATTGGCCACCGAAGACCCGACGCCCTAAGGGACTTGCGGAACTACGGGAATCAAGGCATGG